AAATGTGGAATAGATAAATAACCAAATTACATGTTTTTTAGCAAAGAATTTATGCAGTTGTGATTTACCTTGAGTTCATGAATATTAGATCAGGTCAGCTACTATCACTTGTGCAAAGCGTAATATGGGCTTAGTACCGTATTGCAATGTTTTTATTATTTTGCTCCTATTTAAGTATTCCCATGCATATGTGTCTAGTTTAACAAGAAGACATACAAGCAGAGTTAGTGTCTGATAAACTAAAAGTCCCAGTTGTCAAAAAGATTCTTAACATTTGTCCACAGCCAGCTGCATTTAATTGAGACACAGAACACTCATCTTCTAAGACTGTATACTGCTGTTATGTGGGCAACTAAAACCTCAGACGCTTAGCTATCTTGCTACCGATGTTATTGCTGGGGAAATTGTCTAATGACAGTGATCTTAAAATATGGTCAGTGCTAGATGTACAGTCTGAAAATAAACACTAAACATACTTATCGCTATCTTATAATGTATGACAGCAACAGCATCAAAGGCACTTTTTTTCCTATTTTTAATCAGGCTGATTTGAATCAGTATACTCATTAGAAACAGGCAGCTCTACTTACTAAACTGATCTGTTTCGTTACAGGCTTCAAACACTATACTAAAGTATACCATAATTATTTCGACAGCCAAGAATACTGAACTAACCAAGTGTCATAATTATTATTTCATTTGCACAGACATGTTGCTCAAAGTAATTAAATGGACATAATTCAGCCGATAAAACCAAAACACGAAATATAGGCCCGTTGAACTTACCTAACAGAAGATAAAGGTTATATATTGCTTTAAGACTGAAGACAACAGTCAGTTGTTCACAAAAACATAGTTTACAGTACAACAAACCTTTCTTCAGTAACATCATGCACTGACGGTCTATCTGGAAACAATAAACTGTGTGATTAAACTAACTATGACTTGAGATATCATTCCAGCGTGCAATGAACGTACAGTGTAACGCAGTCGGATGTGGCGAATAAAAATTACAACCAGAGCAAAATTGATAGCATAATCTAGTTATTTAATAAAAAATACATTATGAAATGACAAATTCTATGATTACTTGAACGCACAGATGACCGTCATTACACTGGGCGATACATTAGGCTTACATGGTTGCGTTGCGGATAAAATCACTCAACGAGCAATCTAATGATAACTACAAATAACCAATAATACTCACTTATAGTTTTAATTTATCATCATAAGTGAGATCGATCGAGAAAGTAACTATCTGAGTTTCATTGAAAAGTTGAAACCTAAATTGGCTAAAAATAAATACGGTTTTAGACGAAAATATTAATAGAACTATAACAGTACAATTATATCAATTAAATTATGAACTGATTACAACTTTCGAGAATGAAATAATTATAAACTGTAATAAAATTTCCTAAAGAAAAGTATAAATCAACTTCTGATGGAGTTTTGTTCTCTGAAATAGATGGTTTGGTCGTAGAGCTTTCATAGTTCCTCTGAACGACATCATCAGTGTTCACTTCTATCTGAAGTTTGTGCTGATGATATCATTCAGAAGGAAGATAGAAGCTCCACGATCAAACCATTCAGCTCAGGGAACAAAACTCTATCGAAATCATCCGTCTGAGATACAAATCTTCTCCACCATCTCAAAATCAACTTCCAGATGATACATTAACAAAACTGGACAAAAATGCCGTTACTTAAAAACGATCATACAATGATAGGAAAAATGAATGAAATGAAAGAAGTATGACTTATCAACTTTACAAACAATCACAGTTTTAAGTAAATATCAATATTCGTCACATGTTGGTTTTGCCAACAAATAAAACTATGTGAAATAATTAGAGTTAGTCGGCGAGATACAGTGAATCAAGGTTTTCTACTACCTCCCACCACCTAACATTGTAAGTATTGCTTTGTTGATGAGTATTAAGTAGTAAAAAACTTAGATCCAGGGTTTCCTGTCGACCACTTATAACCACTACCTTATATCTCAGCATAGTAGACATAGTTATGTATCACTTGCGCTGGTGAAAACATAAAAACGTGATTGATTGAATTCAGTTGGTACTAACGAATTAAATAAAAATAACGTAGATCATTATTCAATAATAAATCAATCGTAGATAAACCAAGAAACACTGTCTATAAACATCAGAAATCATTATTACTATTATTATTATTACTTCTCAATGTAAAGAGTAATTACAGTATATAAAGGGGATATCCTTCAAGTAGTATTTCAGTTATTCTGAGGGATTGTTCCACTCAACATCAGCAGTGTGCATCTACATGAAACCATGATCAGTGTAGTTCAACGGCGTTTAGTGTGAGGCAGTTACCTACCGAATACAATGGAAGACAGTCGAGAAATTTTGTGGATTGGTTGAAGGTAAGCATTAAAACCACTAGGTACCGGCTCAATGGTTTAGGGGTTAAGTGTTCACGTGGAACCGAAGGTCCTCGGTTCGAGTACCGCGTGTGGGATCATGAATGCACACTACTCATGAGTCCCATACTAGGACGAAACGGCCGTCTAGTGCTTTCAGACTATCAATGGTGATCTAACATTGATTGGTTCATGATTTCAAAGCAATTCATTGATTCTTTTTTTACTAGACGATCTTTGATGAGTTTATGTTGAATTTATTTTTTAATGGATGATTTCCCGATAAATATTAGTTTGATTCGAGATAAAGAAAATTTAAAAGAGCAGTATCTATCATTTTCGAGCAATTTCCTGTTCATTTAGTGAATGAGGATTGTGCATAAGAACATAACATATACTCAGGATTTCACTTAAATTACCTAGAGCTATCTACATATAATTTTGTGAACAATTACTGAAGCACATCTCAACATACCAAATAAATAAAAAACAAAGAAAGGGAAAATCAGAGCTTGAAATCAAATCATCAGTGTTCTCATATGCAGCAACTACTTATCGTACAAAGAGAAAAATACCCGTAAAACCTTAACACCTGATATCCTACCATATCACGAGCACATCTCTTATCTGGCATCTACAAAACAAAAGGACAACTAAAATCTCATAATAAACAATGAACCAAGATCAGATGAGTTTTGTGGATATTATAGTAATTTCAATGATTAAGATCATGAGTCCGTTTGAAGCTAGACCACCATGGAAAACCTGGAAGCATTGAACGGTCGTTTCGTCTTATTGTGGGACTCTTCAGCAATGCGCATCCACGACCTCGCCCCTTGTGAGATTCTAACCCAGGACCTACTGATTTCACGCGCGAGCACTTAACCACTAGACTACTGAGTTGGCCGGTATCCATCGGTGTTAATGTCTAACTTCAATTAATCCACGAAATTGAGCGACACAACCAAGAATAAAATTGAAAATCATGGGGAAGCCAATAATCTTTTAGTTTGTTCGTTTTTTTTTCCTTAACATTTTTTTATTCTATCTGTCAAATCAAAATGCTTGAAGAGAACACCTATTTATTTATTTATTTATTTATTTATTTATTTATTTATTTATTTATTTATTGGTTCTTCTAATGAATCTGTACATACATAATTAATGATTCACACCTATTAATCATCTTTCTCATTATTAATACATTTTATAATATTGGTAAATATTTAATAATATCAGATGGGTTTTTGTGGAGATTGTAGTAATTTCAATGGTTAAGATCATGAGTCAGTTGAAGCTAGACCACCATGATCTTAACCACTGAAATTACTACAATCTCCAAAAAAAAACCATCTGATATTAATCAACATATGCTCACTAGTGACTGGCTTCACAAGGTATATCCTGGAGTTCTAGTGAGAAGTAGTGACCAGTGGAGTTCAACCAGGTCTGTTGTGAGATAGTAACTCACTGAAGACAATGGTGAACATGTCGTGGATTAATTGAAGTTAGACATTAACACCGTTGAATTACGGCCGACTCAGTGGTCTAGTGGTTAAGTGCTCGGGCGCGAAACCAGTAGGTCCTGGGTTCGAATTTCGCAGGGGGCGACGTCGTAGATGCGCACTGCTGAGGAGTCCCACAATAGGACGAATCGACCGTCCAATGCTTCCAGGTTTTCCATGGTGGTCTAGCTTCAACTGACTCATGATCTTAACCATTGAAATATTTAATGGTTCAAAGTTAAATTAATTATTTGTGGTAAATTTAAACTTGACTTGAATTATTAATTTATGATTCACTAAATACAAAGATTAAAACAATCCAATTTTGTTTGTTTGTTTGAGTTTGTTTTTTTGGTTTAAGTAAAGTATACGTAACATAATGTTCAATGTTTCAATAAACAAATATGAATAGTAACCAAATGTATATAATAATCGATCTATCATTATTAATATTCATATAAAATTATCGAATTCTAACCATAGAAATAAATTAACCAATAAATTTTAATGAAATAGAACTTGTTTCTGACTGGGTAAAATCTTATCACAATTCATGATTGGTTATATTTTATTCAATCAAATTTCAATAAGTCTGTCTCTATATTATTTTATTGTTCTAATATCAGTAATTATTAACATGATAGGCATGATAATAATAATAGAATTCATATTTATTTTATAAAGATAATAGAAAGTGACATTGAATCAGTCATATTTGAACTATAAACGTGATTTGAAAAAATTTGAGTAATAATTAAAATACTTTTATTTTGCCTTATTATTGTTGTTGCTAAGGCAAATTCTAATCTACATCAACATCAACATCAACATCAGCAACAAGAAGAAGAACAAAATCTGAAATTGATTTGATTATTAAATTCATCTAACATATTCACAACTAAATTGTGCCTTAACTTCTCATCTTATCGTTATGAATTTGATCTAAAAATTGTTTCTCAAAAGAAATCAAAAACAAATTATAATAAGTGAATTGTTTATTTGACATCATTATATATTGGATAGAAAGTGTATCCTCTTGTTTCTAATATCAATAATTTGTGAATAAATACAACTGATATTATTGAATTTTGAAGATTTATCAATAAAAGGTAAGAAATTATGTTTTATTATCTTTTTACTTGGTTGCAATTATATATGGGCAGGTTTCTGATTTTTGTTAATTATATTCATAATATTACTTAATTACTTACTTACGCCTGTTACTCCTAAAGGAGCATAGGCCGCCGACCAGCATTCTACAACTCACTCTGTCCTCGGCCTTCCTTTCTAGTTTTACCCAATTGTTGTTCATTCTTCTCATGTCTGTCTCCATTTCCCGGCGTAATGTGTTCATTGGTCATCTTCTTTTCTTTTGGCCTTGGGGATTTCATGTGACGGCTTGTCTTGTGACACAGTTGGTTGCTTTCCTCAATGTGTGTCTTATCCACTTCCAGCGCTTCTTCCTGATTTCTTCCTCCACTGGGATCTGGTTGGTTCTCTCCAACAGTAGGTCGTTAGTATACTACTGATTTAGATTAGTAAATAGTAGTTTATTTTCTCTCGTATAATTTTATCACGATTGATCACTGGGTGGTGATCAATGCCATGCGTGTCTAGTCCTTATTAGTGCAGATTGAATGCTATCGACCATGTTGCAATGTGGTTACCAGTCTAGGTGACTCGACACTGCATGCACTATATATACAATAACATTGTTGACCAATTATCTTACTTAAGTTCGAAGGAATCCCAAATACAATTTTATGTTATGGGTTATTTAAACAGTTTTAACATGTGATCTAATTTAAGGTGTTATTTTGTTAAGTCAAAGGTAACAATTAATACATTCTGGTACTTTTCAAACAATAAAATTTGATCATCAAACAAGTGAATGACAAATGGAAAAGAGATTTATGTTATAATAGCTATGCTACAGCTTCCAACGTTGTCCAAGTCAATATTTAACTCAATATATAAGAAGAATGTAGTATTATCTGATCAAAATGAACGATAACCAATAACCAGTTCATGTATTTAAAAATAGGGAGTTGTGATGTAATTTTGCAAAGATTTAATAATTATTATGTAACTTCGCAGATTAGTGACTAAAGCATTATCGGAAATTGAGTAAATAAACCAGTATTATTTTGTATTCTTTAAATTTCTTTTATTCAATTCTCAAGTGCTTAATTAACTAATTAAGTTTTTCATGCACTGTTGACATTCATTGTGGGCATTTAAGGTTATATGTGTACGATTTCGAACACGCCAATTTCATGGTCTTGTATGATAGTCTGATACTTATAAGTCTGTCGTAGTAATAACAGTCTCTGTGTCAAGACTATAATTTATGGACGAACCAATCAGATATAAGATAACCAGTCTTGAATTTTGACTCGAAATTTATTTATACATTTGGATAAATATCATTTCGGCATTATAACTGATGTCAATTAGTGATGAAAACCTTAAATCTAATTTCTAACCCTAACCACCAATTTATAAATCATAATTTTAATTCTTTACCCTGGTTTCTAATCCTCATTAAGTTCTAGTTAGTAGGTCGACATTCTCAAGGTCACTTTAGCGTCGCTCAAAGGTCATCCATAAATTATATTCTCATCATTTATAAATCTTCTACTTTAAAAAAAAATTTATCTCAAAAGAATTACTGAAATTTATCACTATACACAATGGAAATATTTCTTTCCTCTCCCAATGTCATTTTCATATTCTTTAAGGTAATATTCAGTAAACAAGTGGAAAATTAATGATTAATTAGGAGAATTCATTTAAACAAAGCTAAAAATATAAACAGTAAAAGTATAGTATAGAGATAAACCAATCAGAATCAAGAATGAAAGAAATTTTAGTCCTGTCACCAAAATCAAATTTCATGTATGACCTAAAATATAAATCTCTATATGTACTACTCAAAACGTTTAAAATGATAACGAAGAAAAAAATCACTTTTAACCAATACAGAATAAAAATGATAGTGTTTAAACAAACCAAGTGTTCGATTTTTGTCTACATACATTGTATTTAAACAGGTAAATTAACATTTCAATATTATATTTATTATTTATTTTAACACGTAGATATTGGTACAAGGAGGCACCAAATGCATATGCGTCACACAAATCTCACTTGATATATGTGAGGGCTGTGATACTGCCTGGGTGCCCAAACCGAAGCAGATGGTTTTCTTAGAGGGCCACTCCCCGAGCCTTCGACCTGACGATCTGATCCACAAGGCAGTGGAGCATCGTAAGGAGATGCACTCATATGGAAGCCGGTGACCAACAATTGGTTCATACGCCATTTTTTCCTGCAGGATACTGGTGTCCATGTGCACCATTGGTTTGGAATCCGGTTAAAGCGCCGGACATTCGCTTTTCGTCCTTCCATTTTCGTAAACAACACCCCCATCATGAGAAGGCAGTAAGTAGGACTTCGCTGGCAGAGGCTATATACGCATGGCCATGTGAGAGGATTTCGAGAGGGTGAGCGCACTCTCCCCACTCTCGGCCGTACCAGGGTATTTGGGGCATTTCAATCTTAACACTAAACACTGAACCCTGAAACAAACCTTCATCTGGTGTTATTTTTACCTTATAACTGATATTAGTTTGTGATGATGAGCTTAATCTTAACTTTTTTAATCTTTATCCTACATATCTAACCCTAAGTAGAGACAATGTAGTTCTTGCAAATCTATTTGAATCCTTATAAGCTTTCTAGAAGAAGGCTAATTTTTATTCATAAGGAAGATTTCTCATGTTGTTAGTTTCCCCATCTACAGGTAGATTAACCTATAAAAGATATTCATAAACTTATTAATTGTGCAAAATCTGTTTAAACATTGTAATTTTACTGTTTCCTTTTTTTGTTTTCATAAACTATCCATTTGTTTTCTGATCTAAGAACTGGTTTAAAAAAAAATTTCACGTTTGTTTTAAGCTTGTCTTTGTGTTAAAATGTTGTCTAAAGAAAAAAACCCAGTAGAAGCATTCAATGATTTCACTCTATTTGTAATAGATATTCCATTGGTTTCTTCATAACTATTACAATAGTTTTTTAACGTCATTTGAAATTCATTTTCAAAAAATCATAAAAGATTTATGAAGATGATTTACATGAATATGAATTGAATCTAATTAAATAACTACTGAATACTAAGTAGTGTTACATGTAATTGCTTCATTATAGCATAGAACTCATTAACAAAATAGACTTTGGATATCTACTAAAATTGAACATGTTATCCATAGATTGTTAAGTTCACACTAAATGGCTTTTATTGTCGACTTCATTCATTTCTGATAGAATCGTGGATAAATAGTTGGTGATTATTATTATTATCATTGTTAATGACTTTATTCAATATTATATTTCTGATACAATATAGAATTCTCAGCATAAAGTATTTCAACAAGTTTCCTTTTTTTCTTGGTCGATCGTGGTCGCCAGTTGGAAGTTAGCAGTTCATGACTCGACATCTAAATAAAGTATATTCTTTTCGGTGCGTATTGCCAGCAATCACAATGTTGCTGATTTGGCTTTTTCGTAACTTGTACAGTGAAAGATCATAAACTTTTCATAAACGTACTTTGAATAGGTTATGCGATTAATAGACATAATGATGTGTTAAAACAAACAAAGAAAACAGATAAGTTGTTGAATTATTTAAATAGTAGGAACAGGTAGCCCAAATAATCGAACAAGCCGTCAGTTAAGTTATATATTATAATGAAACAGCTTCTCAGTTTTCTTTAGCTTCCAAGTTATTTGTATTCAACAATATGCTTGGGAATTATTGCCTGAACAATAACTATTTTAAATTTTCTAGAAGAAAGATGGTTTCCAAGTAATTTAATAAGTCAATTTTATTATATGTGGTAGACTGTTTTATTTCTCTAAGGGACAAGTAGTATTAGTTACATGTGTATCTTTTTTTTACATGAAATATTGATTTACCATTAAAAGGATGTTTAAGATAGGTTTTAATAAAATATAACATCATGTTTGGGAAGCAAAAGGTGGTAGTAGATAGCAACTATATGTTCAGTTGTGTTTTTTATTCGCCATCATTGACATGGTTACAATAATGACTATTGATTTATTGATCATTTTAATATTAAATATTGTACAGCAATTCTTTTTGAATGGTGTTATAATATTTCTTTTTTTTAAAAAAAAAATAAAAAGTAACGTTGGTAGATAGGTAAACATAAATAGAAAGAGAAATAGAAGAGGAACTTGATGTAACTTGTGAATGACCTATTTAAACACGATTCAATGAAAGATTTACGTAGGTATATGTAATTTCATAGAAATTGTGAGTTAAGTATACAGGAAATATTAGGTTTAAATTAATATTTATAATAAAAATCTCAACAGCTCGAGTTTAAACGGTCATAGTCTTTTTTTTTCAGAAATATAATTAAACAGTTATTCGGTTTATTCTGTTTCATCTTGGATCATTTTAATTCTGCCTATTTCCTTGAAGAAACTCAGATTAAATTGGTGAAAGAAATTCTGAAATAATTTTTAAGTGATATACGTATAATTTTAGATATTGTATGTAATTGAGCACATAGGACTATCTTAATAACAAAACATCTAAATTAGTAATGATCATACCAGACCTAAAGTAGTTATCTACCGATGACTTTCAAAAATGATCTCATAATGACGTGAACTGAAGATCCTGAGTTCGATCCTTGGTGGAGTCACAGATGTTCAGCTGAGGAGTTGTCATATTAGGGTGTAATAGTTGTTCAGTGCTTCCGGGTTTCCAGTAGTTTTTTTTAGCTGAGGTTATTCTGTGATGTAAACTATAAAATTTAATTCTGTATGATGTGTATTGGGGGCAAGATTGTAAAATGCCTAAAGCTAAGATGAATGTTATCCGATCCTGAACTTGTTCTCCAGTAGCTCTTTAGCATGACATTTTTTCATACCACTTATCAAATATAGGTAGGTTTAAACTACTTTGTTGGAACCCGCGTGATTATCGTAACTAGTAGTTAGAGACTCTATGTGGCATAACTGAAAATCTTTCATAATGATACAGGTGCATTCACTCTATCTTTCCTTAGAACCT